GATGAATCCTCAATGTAAGTACAATCAATGTTTACTTTGTATAAGTACAGTTCATTTTCATTCACATTGTGATGTTTCAACAGTTTTTTGTTTTGTTTTTTATCTAATCTGAGGTATTTTTACATACTTTGATACAGGCGTTGTTGTTGCCCTAAAGATTACTTTGGACAATCCCAAAAACCTTGAAAAAGTGTTAAGTGCTAATTAGCAAATGTTAGCATGCTAACTTAAAGCTCAAGCACAGTTGTTCCTGCTAGAGTGCAACTCTTTGACTTCATTGTCCACAGTGATTCAAATTAGCATCAAGATCTTCCCTCATGGCTAGCATAATACGTTTAGCAAAAGGCTGGCGGACAATTTACACCTCCTATTGGAAAGCAAATGAGAATGACCCTAGAGCACTATACAGTAAAAGCATGATCAATATAGGCTCCACACAGGGAAATTCAAGAGCACTTTAAATTTAAACAGTCAGGACAAACTAATCGAGCCAATTGCCTTGACTCTGTGGAATTATACTGTAGGGAGTGGGAAGTAAAAAGGACAAATTAAACTAGTAAATTCTCTCCAGGCTTCAGCTGTCTGACAGTGCAGAGCACCCAAAGCGCGTGTGTGTGGTTCAAACCCACAGACCACCAAAGCACTCAGAACAGAGGTCCAAATAAAGTTACAGCACAATGCTCCTGCTAAAGGCCCTGTCACACTGTCCCGAAATTGACACCCGATGGACACACGATAAAGGAAATGTTCAAATTCGGCTGTGATCGTAGCAACATCGGGCCATTCGTGAGGGCATCTAAGTCATCGTATGACCGCCGGTGGAGTTTCTCAGGCTCCGGCAGCAACTTCGTGAGCGGCAACTTCGTAAGGCACTCGTGAGGGCATCTTGTCAAATCGTGTCTGCTTCGTGTTATCATCGGTGCATTCACCCTCACTCTGATCGTGGCGAATGCCCGATGGCACCGATGATAACAAGATGCCCTCACGATGGCCTTACGAAGGGCAAAATTGACACACGAATTCAACACGAAAATGAACCTTCGCAAGGTCCTTCGGCAATTTTTTGGCATGCCAAAGATTTAGCCACCGCTCACGAAGTTGCTGCTGGAGCCTGAGAAACTCCACCGGCGGTCATACGAAGGCTTAAGATGCCCTCACGAATGGCCCGATGTTGCTACGATCACAGCCGAATTTGAACATTTCCTTTATCGTGTGTCCATCGGGTTGTTTTATTGCACAACAAAATCATGTAAATATATTATGTAAATAACCCAATTTGTGTTCTGTGAAACTAAAAAGGATATAATATATTATTTTGAAGGACAGTTGACAGGAAGTTGTTGTTGTTATGGAAACAACATTACGGAGAAAACGTAATATTTTCTACATATAACGACGGATAAAGTAAAGAACAAAGTCTGAAGATATCAGTACAGTATCATAGTACTGTAACATAATTGTTTTTTGTACTTTCATTGCAGTTGTATGTCTTAAATGTAATGTAAATGTTGCCTTCGTGTGTGGTTCGGGGCCATCTTCGTGCGAAATTCACAATTCCATATTCGTGTGTCCATCGGGTGTCAATTTCGGGACAGTGTGACAGGGCCTTAAGTGACAACCACAGCTGGATTTCTATGTGGAGTTGTCTTTGTAGGCTTCACTTTGTTTTTAGTGTGAGTGTTAAGCATTGTGTGGCTTTTTGATCTACACTCTAAAAACGAATTCAGGCGACTTTTCACCTCCACTTAATTAAATGCATGGTTGCAAGATAAAAATGTGAGTTAATTGATTTAGATAACATTTTTAAGTTGCAACCATTAATTTATAAGTTGTGTTGACGTAATAATGTTGGTAATTACATCAACTTAATATTGTGTGTAATTTGAACTCTGATTTCTGCGTTAATTGACTTAAAACAACATTCAAGTTGTAGTAAGTAATGCAATGGCTTGATAACTTAATTGTTCTACACCTTGAGTTAAGGATTTCAAGTCCACTCCCACTTAACATGCCGGGACAAGTTCCGACAGTTAAGACAAATAGAAATATACAAAGGACATTTTAAGGTGAGTGTCATCTTTTGTCATTCAAATACAGTAGATAGCCTTGTAGTTGCACTGTATGGCAAATTGCTGTTTGACCAAAATTAGCAGCCTTTGAACTGTGAATAGTTCTGTGAGAGGAGTAGTAGAGGCTACTGTGAGAGTAAACCTACTTTGGTTACTATTGTGATATCGCTTTTCATTCAAAATGAATCTCGGTGAAGCAGACCAAGGACATGCTTCTTGAGGTAGGATCGTTATTTAGAGTTGTCATTGAAATGCAAGTTGTTGGCAGTCTCCCATTCAGAATATATTCATTTAGGTCATTTATCTTTTTTTCCTTTTTCAAAAATAGCACAATACAATTGAAGTACGCAGAGAACTATAGCCATCCGCTGCCTTGTTGTGTACCTTGGAGAAAAGGAAGAGGACCTTTTCAAGGAGTTTAGCGACGTAATTACAAATCTTGAAGTAAAATAAAATCCACGGGCACAGTGTAAAAACACAGGACAAAAGCACTGCTCTCTGTCAGTTTAAGCATATTGCACTTTTGGCCACACCCCAATGAATAATATCTTAGCAACGTTCAGCATGGATAGGTGTTGACAGCAATGGCATGGGAAAAGGATTGTGTAACATTTGACAAGTGGCTTCTGCTCTTCTGCTCCAGTTCACATATTGTATGGAACCTGCAAAACAGATGAGAAGATGCACTAAAACGTGCACGGTTGGGATTGATTAAATCTGTCCACATGCATTTAAACACTAGGTAATGTACTCAAAAGCACCTCTGTGTGTCTTCAGGACCACATTGCCATGACGACACACACATGCAGACTCAATAGGTGAAAACAATACCAGCGTTGCTTTAGCAGCTGGTAATAATGGCTCTGAATTCGCTAAGAGTGACAGTTTAAAAAGTATGCAATTACCTAATTCATTATCTCTAATGCGCTAACCTATTATTTAATGTGCTTCAAAAGGACATGAATATCGCCTTCATCAGTAACCGGTCCACCCAGGATCTGACCATACGATGGCAACCATCGTGGTGGAGGGAAACATGAATGAGCAAGCATTCTGCGTTAAATGTGTTCATACTGTTTGAAATAATGACTGTCGGCAGTGTAAACATCTTTTGTCAAATGGATGTGTGTGATCTGCAGATTGGTGGCCATTGAGAGTTTGTTTCTATAGTTTTACAAAGACTTTACAGATTTGACACATTTGGCACTGGTTTTAAATATGCAAAGGCCTCTAACTTCGATGTGATGGCAGCATTTATTTGCTGTGTTCATTATGCCCAGTTTCTGTTTTTGAAAAACAAACCTATTTAATAATCATGTTTGTTTAAAATAATCTTGGAGGCTGCCTGCACTCTGCTCTAGGGAATACTTCATTAACAGTAATGCACATATATTGATTTAGATATTCAGGATTACAGAACATGATATAAGTGGTAATTAAAAACACCTCTGATTGTAGAGGAAAAGCCTTCTCCCATAGCTCAAATAACTTTGTTGCTTTGAGACAATTTCATTAGAAGTTGTCTTAACTCAATAAACATCGATGCAAACTGTTGCGTTGATTTTCTTTGTTGAGCCAAGGCATTTGTTTTCAGAGTGTACACTTACAGTAAGCACAACTTGAGAAAAGCATTTTTGTGAAAATAAGAGGTGTTCTGAAGCCAAATGCAGCTTCATGTTTTGTTCAGAGTTGACTTTACAATCTGCCCACTCTGAGAGCGACAACAAACCTTTAAAAGTGCTCTTTCATTCATCCGCCGCTCTGCCAAGCTCTCCTCGCTGCACTCTGCTCATGAGCAAGGTCATCTGGGGAAGAGAGACAGAAATGGCAGCACTTTAATATTTTGAACATTTATGTACACGTTTTGTTGCATTTCTATCCCCTGGAATGTACAGAAGGGGATACAAACCATGCATCAAAAGAGCTGTCTCACTGTTTTCCTCTTGAATAAGTCAAGCTACAGTATGAGTCCAAGGTTGCTGCAGATTTAATTAAGCCCCTAATTAGCTGTGATTAGATGAGGTAGAAAAAAACCAACATGGCCTGTTTTTGCCACATCAGGGAAGAGAGACAAACACTGACACATCACAGCTGTTTTTAGACCGTCTGTGGAATTTAGAGCCTGAGGACATAACACTCATTTCCGTCATCACTCTGTTCATTATGCCCAGTTTCTGTTTTTGAAAAACAAACCTATTTAATAATCATGTTTGTTTAAAATAATCTTGGAGGCTGCCTGCACTCTGCTCTTGGGAATACTTCATTAACAGTAATGCATTGATTTAGATATTCAGGATTACAGAACAGTGTGCTGTTATGTTTGCATGGGAATAAAAAGATGAACACGAGACGCATGACGCATGTGAGGCCTGGTATATCCTTGAATTAAAGGATCATTGTAGTGTGAGTAATACAAATGATGGATAGTTTGCGATCAAAAATCAATGCATTTTTTCCCTATAATTTTACTTTTGAGTCTGCCGCAGGTTTGCATGTTCATATTTTTGCTCACAGAATCTACTGCATATGGCAGTGATGAATTGAAGTAATATTATTTCTCATTTTGTTTTCTGTTTTTTTTTTCCCTTGACGCCTGTCTCTGCATCATTTTGTTGTTTTTTTGCAGCTGCCGTTGGCTGATAGTCATATTATGCATGGTGGCTGGGTTTCTATTATATTTCACATGGGTACCACTCTGCAAGGACATTAGGAGAAAAAGAGAATCCGTTGTTCTCCATGTTGATTGTTCAGTTGTATTGTTTCTATTTGTTCTTGACACAGAGTGGGAGATGCTGAATCCTGAATAGCAGTTGTTAACATTTTCGCATTAAGGGCTGTGATGCTGACATGTGTTTGCATGCTCAAACACAGACTTTCACATATGTGCTGCCTCTATTAATCTCCTGTTGTTTCTCTTTGGTTCTTGTTTAGAATCACAGTGCACACTGTGTGGTGAACCAGAAGGTGAGTGGGCCTCGCTATACCCCAATAGCTCTTGTCATCGTCATCTCCCGGCTTGATGTTTTGCTGTTTGAGGAGGGGTGGGAGGTGGAGCGGGGGCGACGCTGTGCTGCAGACGCACTGTTCTTCATTCTTCATTCTGAGCAAAGCTACAGCCCCGGCCAGGTTTCAGGATACACGTAGAAATAAACACGCTGTTCATAAAGATGGCATCCTTCTGGTTTGGATTTTATAGTAACAACTGCCCTGCACACAGACTGTCACAGGTGCACTGCAGTGTGGAGTTACACAACAAATGTAACTCGATGGGGAGGCTATCTTTATCTACTAAGGGTTACTCTTACTGACCTGAGTGATAGACAGCATGAAGGCTGAAGGACACAGCTTCAGAGTGCTGAGTAACCACACATGCTCCTGCTGCACATCTCATTGAATGTTACCATTTCTGTCTCATTCTATCAGTCCCTGCACTGCTGACACTAGCCTCATTCTCCATTGGCAAATTCAAATTATCCCCTCAGGTCCACGTCCATTTCGTTCTTTCTCTTTGCACGGATTACATTTTGAGGGATTATCATTCCTTTTCAGTCCCTCTGCCCCGCTATAGCTGCTCATGATTGCTCAAGTCTTTCATCTATTGTTGGGTTTCATATGTGAGGCTGCTGTTACTGACAATCTAACAAAAACAGTTGTGACTAGAAATAATCTGTACATTCATCAGGAGGTGACAGCTTTGGTTGCATTTTTCAGTAAGAGGTCTTAACCTAGAAACAACCCATACACATTTTCCCTGACTGATCTGATATTTCCCTCTGGACTTAACCTTGTCCAGGAATCAGCCATGTACCTCTAAGCCCAATAAGCATTATTCTATGTCTGGAAAATCAATGGGGCCCTCTGCTTTGCTTGATTGGATTAAGACGTAATCAAATCGAGCGCGATAACTGTGTGCCTGTGACCTTCCCGCTGAGACAGGCAGGGAGGCCCGAGGGGCGGAAAGGGAGTGTGTGTGTCTGTGTGTACATGGTGTGTAAACGGGTGTGTACTGTAGCTGGGCACCAGGGAGCTCCCGAGGCGACTCCATGGTGTTGCTCCATGTTGCACAGGACAGCAGAGCAACAGAGCCACAGGTGTGGTGAAACAAGACATCCTGTATGGGTGGAGAAAGACTGTGTGTGTATTGCTTGGTATCAAACCTCAATTCAAAGGCTGTGAGTTTCACTCCTGTATATTTGTTATTTGATTGCATGATTTCTTGATTTCAACCAGAAGTTTGGCAAGTTAAGACTGTGTTTTTCATTCAGGTTATTGTTCTTTGTAAATGGCAAGTATCTGAAAAGTATGGCATTTTTGTTAAATAGAGAACAAATATTTTTAAAAAGGTGATATCGGCAATAATTGGTAGCTTTGGGACACCAGGATAAGCTTACAGAACAGCGATGTTATATCAGCTCATGCAGTAGATATGGTGCAACATTAACATTAATTCGGAGTCTTATTCCTGTCCAATTTGTGAATGCCAATGGAGTCCAATATATGCTCTCCTTTTGGCTAGGTTTTGCTCTTAACCAACTCCAACAATCTGCCTTTTTAGCATCTAAATGCTCCTTCTATATAAACTAGTTGCTATCGTTATCTGTCGGCAGTTCTGTGCTGGGTATAGCATACAATGGATTCATCAACATTGTTTCATTGTTAAAGAGCCACTGTTGTGCCTGGAAATGGTGCTCATGAGAGCTAAGAGTAAACTGAAACAGGAAAGCAGAAATTGGCTGAAAGATGCTATCATGCTGGGTAAAGCTGAGGTGACCTGCAGAGTCAACACTTTGTTGGTTTATCATTTATCAACATTGGCAACATGAAACATAGTCATTTGAGTAATTGTTCAAACTGAAAAGTACAGCTTTAATCTTCTCAATGTACAAAAAGAGTACCTTTAGCTGAGGTGTCCAAACTGAAATCAAACACCCAGCCCTTATCTCTATGTCCGTCTGTTTGCTCTGAGAATTGCAAACCAAAATCTAGTGGCCTGCAGGTAATTGCTGTCCTGCGAGAGAGAACAGAAGTGTCATGGTGTGAGGAATAAATATAGAGAGAGTTTTGAAGTGCAAACATGCACATCTTTGTGCAGAATGCTGAGCCAGGGGCAACATGTCCTGCTGGGACCCTCACCCCCATATCTCATAATGCATATATAAAGAACACAAACACCAACACATAAAAGATTATTGGGCGGTTGCTTAGATGGCAGCAAAATGTAATAGATATTTATTTTTAGGGGAGTCAAGGGATTTTATTCAGTAAGGGTTTCTTACAAAGTCCTAGTATACTGTAGTGAACAATTATTTATTTCTACTAGTTTTTACAGTGATTCTTTTTCTTCTTTCAAGATGATTTTTTTAGTCGAGAATATAAAGGAAAGGGCAGGAAGAAGATGGACCTTTATTAATCCCCTGAGGGGGAAATTCAGTTTCCACTCTGTCGTACACACACACGTTTTTATACAGGTCATACAGTACACACAGTACACACTTTTTACAACATGCACATACATATACAAATACACACACAGTTATATGCACACATGCACATGCAGTTGAGAGGTCAGAGCGGAGGCAGCCAGTCTAGCCGGTGCCAGTGAGCAGTTGGGGGTGAGGTGCCTTGCTCAAGGGCACTTCGGCAGTGGCCCAGGAGGTGAACTGGCCCCTCTCCAGTACCAGTCCACAGTCCGTATTTTTTGGTCCGATCGGGACCTGAACCGGCAACCCTTCGGTCCAAAGTCCAATCCCCTACAGACTGAACCTTTCTTTGAGGGAGGGAACAAAGAAAGGCAGCTGGTTGGATTTGAACCTGGTCACGCGGAAGTATTCCTTATTGCTCTTTACAAAGCACATGTGTGTCACATAATACATAATTCATATAATAGCTTCAAATGCTTAAGGCACAGCTGCTCAGTCAGTATACTGAATAGCTCTTGTACATTTGTGTGTTGTTGGATGAAATGGACCATGCACAAAATCTGCAATGATATCAGACAAGGCTCCAAACAGTGGAGACAAAAAGGCAACCAAACAAGGAAGCACTGCGATATAAAAGAAGGCACTTTACACAGAGAAATAAATTACTGAGCGAAAACTATTACAGAAAAAGGACAGGGAGGACACTTTCATAGACGTCTTGGCCTTAAACATAAAATTGATTGAAAAGTCTATAAAACTGGACTCACCTTGAAAGGAACTCTATGACCCCCATCCACCAAACTGAATGTATTAATAAGAGCTGTACCCCTGAGAATACATAACCTGTATTGTTAATTCAAAATAGGTACACAGTAGTCAAGGTGTGACATGTGGAGGGAGTCTTATTTTGCATTACTCATGGGGGATGAGGAAATCACAGCTGTTTTTGAGTCTAAATAAGAGCCCCGTCCTTCAGCTGATGCACGGATGGGTTTACTCAACGACAGCAGATGTGAGACAGAGCATTTCTTCATTAACCGAACCTTCACCGAAACCCTGAACTTCACTGATGGCGTGAAAGGGGGGGAAAAAAGAGTTTATATAGAGGGGAAATGGAAGTAAAGTGTATGGGATACATCAAGGAGGACAGAGAAGGAGAATGAAGACAAATGAACGAATGAGTTGGCAACCCTGTCCCCTAGAAATGTCATTTATATGCTACTAATATGTTTTGCTATTTTGCTATGCGCTTTTTGATGGGAAACTTGAATTATATTCACGAGCTTATTCCAGTGAAGGATTTTATCTGTGCAAATGTGGAAGAGGTGGATGCTGGGTTTATGTTGGTTATAGGGCTAATAACAACTTTGTTATCAGTTTCAAGTAAAAAAACTCAACTCATCCATACTTTTTCAGTATTCAATCAAGACCAAGCCCTTTCATAACATCGTTAAAAATCCTTTACTTGTAATGAGTTGGTAACAGTGAACAATTAGTAGATATATTTAATATCACCATTTTTGCAAGATTTAAAAATGTTGTTTCCTTATTGTGTTGCATTAATATAATATAATAATAATAATAATAATAATAGTACATTGTATTTGTATAGCCCACTTTAAAAACCACTTAAAAAAATAAGTTATCTAAGAAACATATTTAATAATATTTTTTTATAAATTAAATACAGAACTAGGGAGCTGAGTTTAAAAAAAATAGGTTAAGGGTAACAAAAATGACATTACATTCCTACTCAAACTAAAAATAAATCCTACTAAGTTGAGAATTAGTAGTAAATGAATGGAGAGACAGGATTGGAGTAGGAGGATTTTCTTTGGAACCACATTCTCTAGTGAGAAGGCTGATGAACATATGAGAATAAAAGGGTGTCAGCGTGTTGGTAATACATGGTCGTTTCCCATAAATATTTTGTTCCCCCTCCCCAATCTTATTGAATGAATGAGTTGGCAACCAAGCTCCCACACGTAGCATGCCAATGAACTGAACTGTGATGCATTAAGCAGGAAGCTCTCTAGTGTTATTATATAATATAACTGTACTTTATCAACATTGTAAATGGCTGTCTCTCAGTAATAATTCTCCATATGCAACCACACAACCATATCCCAGCATCCAAGTCCCATCTGGTCATTTCCTCAGGAGAGTGGAGGACGTCTTGGAGTTATACTGTACTGTAGGTAATATCATTAGGCCCTAATCCACATCTCCCCTGTGGTCAGAAATACTGTCCCGTATCGAATTGGGCAGCATGGATTTTTAATTTTCAGAAACCCATTTACATTGTATGTGGGCTAGACAAATAGGATGCATGCCAGAGCGCTCGCCAAGGTCAGTGTCCAATATAGAGCAGGCTTGTTGGAAGGTGTGAGGGGACTACTGATGCTGTACATTATACAACACAGAGGCTCAACAGCCCATAATGCACTCTGTGCTCCTGCAGCTTCCATATGCACTCTGCTAATCTAATAGAAAAGGAGCGATGCTTTTAAGAGTCAACCTAAAATAAAAAACATGTGTTTCTGC